ACACGTCACGAATGTCGCTAGAGGTTCACTTCAAAGTTGTGCCCAAATAAATTCAAAAGTGCCAAACTGGGTCAGTATAGAAGAGTTGCTGCTGGAACTTCTCACTGAGGCTGTACCAGTGCTTTGTGTAACTGTGAACATGCCATTTCTGTACACAGCATGCAGTTTCCACAGACATCAATGTTAGCCAAAGCTCAGCACTGTGTGGACAGGTACAATTTGCCATGGAGTCAATTTTGACTCATAGCAACCTCATGTGTGCCAGAGTATAACTGTGCTCCACAGGGTTTCAGTGGCTGATTTTTCAGCAGTAGACTGCCAGACCTTTCTTCTGAGGCACCTCTGGAATGTTCCAAGGTAGACTCAAACATCCAACCTTTCGGTTAGCACCCAAGTGCATTAACCACTTGCACCCACCCAGGGTATAATTTAGGAAATGCTAAAAGTCTAATTTCTTTAATAGATGGTTAGTCTTATAATAACAAAACTTGCAAGAAAATTTATTTTCAAAGCACTACATGACCTCAGGAGAAAGGATTTAAGCACTGGATAGAAGCTTTGACCCTGAGATTCTGTGCCTTTATAGTCCTTACAGATAACCTGTGGGGTAGGCATGACAAGTGTTAGTAGCCACGTATGAAAGATGACACAGAGAAAGATGAAGCACAGAGAACCGTCACTGCTCTCCACAGGCTGTCAGGATACTGGGCTGGGGCAGGGATCCTTAACTTTCCCATCTCTGGGCTCTCCAGTAAAAGATACCAGCTTATATCCATATATATATATATGTATATATGTGTATATATATATTTTATTTCTCCTTGTCTCAGGAAAAAGAAAATAAATTTGGGGGCCTTTTCCTGTTTGCCCTCCCCTATAAGCACAAGTTCTGAGGTTCTTCTGAAGAACTTGAGTAGAATCACTGCTCGGTTTCTCTGGCCATAGAAGCTCAAGGCCCCTCAACAGCCTTGTCCTCAGCTACAGTCTTATACTTTTTAATATCCATTTTTAAGGCTGTATCTTAAAGGTAGGTTAAATCTGTCATGGTAACTACACTAGAAAAACACTTGAGAAACCACCAGTGTTGAGGGAAGGACACTTGGTCATAAGTTAAGAGACCTGGATCCTTCACTTACTAATGTGATTTTGTGCAAAATACTTAGGCTCAGGGGGTTTTAGCTCTCCTGAACGCCCAATGGTGACAATTATGTCTATATCCCCCAAATCGGCAGCTTCCCCTGTGTTACGCCTACTATCGCTTACCAGGTAATGAAAAAGTTTCTGGAATTTTCATTTCTAAATGAGAAAGAAGTTTTCAGTGACTTGCAGTTTGCTCTAGTGAGCACAATTTTCAAATTCTTGTGTGATGAGCTCAAGAAATACCAGCATCAAAGAGGATCCCTACACTGTAGTTTCACCAGATTTATATTTAAAAATTCTGTCTACAAGAACCCTCACTGTGAAAATCCAGACCAAGCTTCGACGAACCTTCTGCCATTGTACCTCAACGAGTCCGTGTCTATGTCAGGAGAACACTGTTTTGTTACCGGGAGATCCCAGATGCTGAGATGTTAGCCAAAGCTAACAGCTCGCGCAAGAAGCTGAGATTTCTATTCAGTAACCCTCCAAGCAGATGCTTTATCTGTAGAACCTGGAAGGTGCTGGACTGCATGCATCCTGGTCCCACAGCCTGGCCCTTAGTGGTGTCCTCAGCAGAACTAACTTTCTTGCTCCAGAGACACTGCTCCAGGGACACATGGATGCTAGGGAGGAAAGGCATTTTCTCTACTTTCTTCCCCAGTTAAATCTTTGTAGAATGACTGGCAGGCAGCTGTGAAGGAAATATTCATGAATAATAGCCTCATGACAATATTCTCTTGAATGCCCTCGAGAATCCTTCTCACCTCAAACATGAGCCCACAGAGTAAATAGAAAGATGTCTTACCAGGTATTTGGGTGGGTTCATGGTTTTTCATATCTGAAGGCAGAAATAAATATTGGTTAATGTTAAGCAGTTATCTTGTATTGTTAATGTCCCCTTTGTCTATACCCCCCATCTCCAACCCTCAAAGCAAGAAAGAAAAGTAAAACAAAACAAGAAAAACACATTTCAATGGCTCTTCATTCTCTAACTGCACAAAGTCTGAACTCTTTAGTCTAGAATTCAAGATCTCCCATGATCTAGCCCCTATCTCTCAATCTCATCTCCACAAGGCAGTCTAGTACATAGGTTTTTTTAATGAGACAGGGCAGGGTTTAAGCCTCTGCTTGGTTGGCTACCTATTAGCGCTATCCTTTGAGTTTCATTTTTTTATTTATGCAAAAGAAATACTAACCTTGTAGGTTTGTAGTGAGTGAGGTGACTGTAGTGAGTACATAAAAGTGCTTGGCACATTGCCTGGAACATGACCATTGTTGTTGTTAGTTGTTGCTGAGTAGGCTCCAAGCCATGGCAAACTGACGTACAACAGAATAAACCGTTGCCTGGGCCTGAGCCATCTTTATGATAATGAACATTTGTATGTTTCAGTCAATTGTTAAACGGAGTCCCACTGTTCTGGCTTGACTCATTCCTCAAACTCTCCATGCCCAGTAATGTTCTTAGTCCTAGGCTTTCCTCTCATGTTTCTTAACTTTGTAGCTAGTCTGTTGTTGTTAGGTGCCGTTGGGTCGGTTTTGACTCATAATGACCCAATGTACAACAGTACAAAACACTGCCCAGTCCTGCGCCATCCTCACAGTTGTTGCTATGCTTGAACCCATTGTTGCAGCCACTGTGTCAATCCATTTCATTGAGGGTCTTCCTCTTTTTTGCTGACCCTCTACTTTACCAAGCACGATGTCCTTCTCCAAGTCCAAAGTACATGAGATGAAGTCTTGCCATCCTTGCTTCTAAGTAGCATTCTTGCTGTACTTCTTCCAAGAGAGATTTGTTCATTCTTCTGGAAGTCCATACTATATTCAATATTCTTCACCAACACCATAATTCAAAGGTATCAATTTTTCTTCGGTCTTCCTTATTCATTGTCCAGCTTTCGCAAGCATCTGAGGTGACTGAAAATACCACGGCTTGGGTCAGGTGCACCTTAGTCCTCAAAGTGACATCTTCATTTTTTAACACTTGAAAGAGCTCTTTTGCAGCAGATTTGCCCTATGCAATACATCATTTGACTTCTTGACTGCTGCTTCCATGGGCGCTGACTGTGGACACAAGTAAAATGAAATACTTGACAACTTCAATATTATCTGTGTTTATCATGATGTTGCTTATTGGTCTGGTTGTGAGGATTTTTGTTTTAAGTTGAGGTGTAATCCATACTGAAGGCTGTGGTCTTTGATCTTCATCAGTAAGTGCTTCAAGTCCTCTTCATACAGTCCTCTTTATATATTCTTCTTCATATAGTCCAGCTTCTCGGTTTATTTGCTCAGCATACAGACTGAATAAGTATGGTGAAAGGATACAACCCTGATGTACACCTTTCCTGATTTTAAACCACTCAGTATCTCTTTGTTCTGTTCGAATGACTGCCTCTTGCTCTATGTACAAGTTCTGCATGAGCACAAGTAAGTGTTCTGGCATTCCCATTCTTTGCAATGTTATCGATAGTTTGTTATGATCCACGTAGTCGAATGCCTTTGCATAGTCAATAAAACACAGGTAAACATATTTCTGGTATTCTCTGCTTTCAGCCAAGATCCATCTGACATCAGCAATGATATTCCTCGTTCCACGCCCTCTTCTGAATCCGGCTGGAATTTTTGGCAGTTCCCTGTCAATATACTGCTGCAACTGCTTTTGAATGATCTTTAGCAAAATTTTACTTGCCTGTGATATTAATTAATGACAGACACGTGGTGGTAGCTAGTCTAGAGAGTAAGTAAAGAGATGACTTACCAGGTAACAGAGTAGGTTCCTGGCTTTCCATTCCTGAGGATGAAAATAAAAACTATTTAATGAAAACTGCAATCAGCTTGAAAATTAATTTAACCTTATACTTGACTATTTACAGTGGAAAACTCTGAAGGCTTTGCAAGAAGGCAGGAGGCAGAGAGAAAGGGGAGAAGAGGAGAAGACTTAACCCACTGGAGCCTCAAGAACGTATGGTGAGAAGTATGGCTAGTGAACTAGGATCTCTTCCAGATTAAACAAACAACTCTTGATTTTTTTTTTTTTTGAGATTCAGTCCAAGGACTAGGATGCAAAGTCATTGAGGTATATTAAAAAATAATAATAACATTTTCTGTTATAAAGTAATATAATTATAGATAATTTGGAAAAATATAGGAAATTATTAAAAATTAAAATCAATCTCATATCTCAGAAATGCTTATTCTTAACATTTTTGGTATACTTCCTTTCAATCTTCTTGCTATGCATACAGATATATGCACATATATGTTTATAAAGTTAATATTATAGATGATATACTGTTTTATATACTATTTTTATTTACCATTATGAGTACTTTCTAACATCATTAAATATTTTTCAAAAACATGATTTTTAAGTTGTTTAGTGTGTCACAGTACAGATATAACTTAATTCATTTAACATATCCAATTGTTGGACACTAAAATTATTTCTAAATATTTACTATGGTGACTGTGATAACATTTTTGTTACACAATCTTTGTGTTCATCTCTAATTTCCTTAGGACAAATATCTAAAAATGATATAACTGGGTCAAAAGGTATGAACATTTTTAAGGCTAATAATATATACTATCAAATTGTCCTTCAGAAAAGTTTTTCCAACTTATAATGTCACCAGTAATTTATGACAGTGTTCCTGTCCTAGTACCCCAGAGGACATTTGAGTAATAACATTTAAAAACAAAACAAAACAAAAAAAACCTTGGGGATGAGTTGTATTTTGGAATGTACTAGATAATCAAATGGATACAGCTAACATCATCTGTTAGTCAGACTGCTGGAGGCAGAAATAAATACATAAATTAACGTGTTAGAAATAAACAATTTAGAAAGAAGCAATGCCAGTTGTATGCCACTTCCCAACACTTTAGGCCACAAGAGTTTGTGAAATAATTGGTCCCATCTTCCTCTATCCATGTAATAGCTAGCTTAAAGCAAAATATGTTCTCTAGAACAAGTTTTCATGCACTTTCTCTAACTGCTATGCGGGAATGACTTAAGGGTTGTTTGACGGGCGACATAGAGCTGCTCTGTCGTTTTTTAAAGAATTCTCTCTGAAACCCAGGAGCATCTCTGATATATTAAACTAGTAAGTTAAGGAAGGCTCTGCCTTCTTGCCACTTTTCCTTACCATGCCAGTCCCACCTACTCCCACCCCTAAGAGGAGCTGTCTTGCAAATGTAAGCCTCCAGAGTGTATGAAAATGTCTTACCTGGGTCTTCAAGCTTCTGATTTTTCTCATCTAAGTTAAAAAAGAAACTTATCAGTTTTAATGTTGCAGCAAAAGGCCCAGAAGTTACTACAGATGCAGCAAAACTATTTTCAGGTAATATGGCCATAAAGAACCACTTGGTACGTTCAGCAAACTACTGTTATAGAATTTAAGTGTCAGCCAGGGTCTAAACGCTACCTTGACTAACAGGTTGGAACCTTCCTCTGCTGCCCTTTACTTTAAAAAAAAAAAAAAAAAAAAAAGGCACAAAGAACTAGCCTCCTGGGGATCAAAAGGAGCCAGAAAACTGTCTATCTTGAAGAGTTAGCTGAGGTCCCCATGAAGCAACCAGGAGAACTTGGCACAATGGGCCAAAAAGAAGACGGGTTGCTATGAAAATTCTCCAAAACATGAAACGCTTCACTTCTGTCAGGACAGGAAATATCTCCCTAAACATCAAGTATCAAACTGTATATTTAAGAAAAGGCCACATACTTTTTTTTTCTTGAACAAAGAAAAAAAAATTCTAGCCACATGAGCCAAACACATAATAAGGGACTTAAAATGCACAGAAGTGATTTGAGCTATATCCCATAAGTGGGAACTGAAGAAAAAAATGCATCTTATCATCCAGATATTTCAATTAAATGATATCAAACATCAGGATATTTGAGAGATGCAAATGAATAAGAAAAGTTTTCGATTTTCATCTGGATGTTTGGTGTCACAGACGCTCATCTCAATGACTGAATAAAGAGCTGTGCCTCAGAGGTCCACAGACCATGCCAAGAGGGACTAGCTCCTCAGGTCCCACTACTCTTATTCTCCAGAAAGTTTCTATACTGCTGAGGTCTCCAGAGAGCCAACCCTTTCATTTTCTGGGAGGTAATTTTCCCAGCAATAGGCTCTTTTTTTTCCCCTCATATCTGCCAAGTCACTGCTTCATATTTGAAAGTACTTTTTTTCCTTCAGCAAAAAACTGAATTTTCTAAACAAGAAAAAGTTATATATTTTTTAAATAAAGATTTTTTTTTTTTAAATTACAGCGTACTCACCAGGGCTGTAGACATAAACAGGTTGAAAATATACTGAAATACAAACATATTTTCATTATATTGTACTATGCTCAGATGTGGATATCAGGTTCAATCTATTTTTATATGCTTATTAATAATAAAGATTCGAGTTGACTTACATTTAACATATATACAAAATATGGCTATCAGCAGAAGTTTAACATTTCAATCCCAAAGACAAAAGGATGTGGATTTGTTTGAATTACATGAAGAAGAATTCGTAGAAAAGTTTAGCAGGAAAACATCAAGAAATAGACCTTATTTTCAAACTTTTTAATAAAGAAATCCTGAAAAGGTTCCACCGTGAGCATGTATCACTTCAAGGCATTTTGGTTCAAATTTGTTGGGCCTATTTGATAATGCTGTTTCCTGAATACTTTTAGAATACCCTGTCTACCTTTTCAAATCTTTCCTATAGTCCTCTGAGAAAAATTATCTTTTGTTACATCCTCCTATTTTTTCCCTGAGGAAGCTGAGACTGACCACATTACCACTCTGTCACCCCATCCTCCCCTCCTGAGGCATATTCCTTCATTAGTCTCCCAAATGCTATCTCCTAAGACATCAAATATAAGATTAAGAGTCTAGCTCTCTGCAGGAATCATGTGGGAAATGAGTGAGAACATAGAGGCATTCAGGAGTCCTTCAGTTCCTATAAAGATAGGCTAAGCTGAGAATAGCATGGTCCCTGCATGCCCAGGGCAAATGCAGTGTTTGAGAAAACAGCCAGAGGGTGTGGGTAGGTGGGGTAATGGGGAAAGGACTGAGGGGCGGATAGCAAGCAGCAGAGGCTCCTAGGCTCTCTATCCGAAAAGGCAGTAGCAATAGCACAATTTGGCCTTGAGAAAATGATAGCCTGACAGTGTGGTAGGGTGGCTCTGACCCAAATCAGTGAGAAATAACACTGATAAAATTCCCATTACAGAGATTTAAAGCATATCTTACCCATGTTCTCAACACAATTTTCAGTTTTTAGTCCTGAAAAACAAAGATAATATTTTGTTAGACATAACCTACCCTAGTAAGATTTCAAATTGGCCTATGTCTATCGGTAATCTAATCTGTCAGCTCCTAGTCTACAACCTAGACACAACCTAATGAGATGTAAGTCGCAGAATAATCACATTTTTGTATTAAAAGGAGTCAGCCACCAAACAGCATTATAACCTTTGACAAAACATCTAACCTTCCTGGAATTCAGTTTCCTTATTTATATCTTTTACTAGGAAATTACTTGAAATGACATGCAAGTGACCACCCAAAGCTAACATTTTATGATTCTATTCCATGATTAGCTTGCAAAAATTAGGAGAAAATTAGCCTGGTGTCCATTCAATTAATTCTTCTCTTTAGCTACTAAATGTTCTCAACAGCAAAATCTACCTCTCTACCATGACAATTCCTATTCTTTGGGAAAAAAGAATCTCAATCACATCTTCAAAGTCCTTTAAAATGTGAACAAAGATCCTTTACATTCATGTAGGACTTCAGAGAAACAGAGTTGGTCTACCCCAGAGCATTCATCTGGATGTAAGGAAAGCCACAACTTTTGGAGAATAGGAACATGGCATCTACTAGTACTTCTATAAGATCTGAGACCCTCTCGCTGGTGATGCTTACAAGAAGTCATCTGTGCTGCAGCACTATCCCTGAGACTCGACATAGAGGGTAATCTGCTAGTCTGCTCAGCAGCAGCAGGGAAGAAGGTAAGTGAGAGAGTGTTCAGATTGGATGCCAGCCTGAGTGTAGGGCTGCCCAGAAGGTCACACGAAGGTCTACACTTCCTATGACCTCTTCTCCATATCTGACTAACTAACTTATCTAATCTGAAAGCTCAGCTACCTGAGGAAGAGCCTCTGCACCTGAATGGGTGGGAGTCCCTGAGAGGCCTGGCTCTACTATGACAGATATACTCCTCTACAAATCAAACCCAAACCAAACCGGTTGCCATTGAGTCGATTCCGACTCATGGCAACCTCATGTGTGTCAGAGTAGAACTGTGCTCCATAGGGTTTCAGTGACTGATTTTTCAGAAATCAGGCCTTTCTTCTGAAGCCCCTGTGGGTGGACTCGAACCACAAACCTTTCAGTTAGCAGCCAAGCGCTCAACTGTTTGCACCACCCACTGAGGTCCCCTCTTCTACAATCTGCTCTCAAATTCTGCTCCATTTGTGGAGTGTAAACCAAGAATCCAGGTGACTTGATCCGTTTCTACGGCTCCAGGAAATGGTACAGATCTGCTAGAGTCTGGATGGTGCACTGAGGCTAAACTCAAGAGTTTGGACAGACAAGAAATGAAAAAACAAAAAACAGTTCTAGAAACTATTACAAAAGTTGCCCCAGCAGGAGGTGAGGAGGTGCCATCTCAAGCAGAGGGCCTAGGAGAGGCTAAGGTGAAGGAGAGGGGAATTGTGGATGGGAAGGCTGCAGATATAGTAGAGAGATTCAGCCTGGAGACCGGACACTAGGGGGATTTTTAAAAGTCTTTGTCCTCTGTTTGTCGCACAAATTAGAGCAAACCTCAGAATCACCTGCAGTGCTTGTTAAAATTGCAAATTCCAGGACCCTAATTGAGGTCTATCATGTGCAATTTCTGGGGGGATGCCTTGTAATCTGCATTTTTAAAAAGAACTCCAAGTGATTTACAAGCATAAAGTTTTTGCGAATCACTGGGTTAGAGTCTCCTCAATAGTAGAGGATGTTGTTGTTTGTTGTTAGGTGCCATTGAGTTGGTTCTGACTCATAGAGACCCTATGTACAACGGAACGAAACACTGTCTAGTCCTGCACCATCCTCATGACTGCTGTTATGCTTGAGCCCATTGTTGCAGCCACTGTGTCAATCCATCTCGTTCAGGGTCTTCTTCTTTTTCACTGACCCTCTGTTTTAGCAAGCATGATGTTATTCTCCAGGGACTGATCCTTCCTGATAACATGTCCAAAGTATGTGGGATGGAGTCTCGCCATCTTTGTTTCTAAGGAGTATTCCAGTTGTAAAGGATGGGTATCTTTTAATGTTCAACACACATCCATTTTGTCAATCAAAAGGCTGCATTTCTCCTTCCTATTTGACTTCAGATTTAATTTTCCATTAGCGTTTTCAGCAGCTGGAAAGTAATCAAACTATTTTGGGTGTCTAAAGAAGTTTCAGGCTAAAAATAGATAAGAGATTGATCCAGAAATAAATCAGAGAAGGCATGGAGTATAATACATAGGAAATGAAAAAGGGAACAAACAACCCAATGAAAAATAGGCAAAGGACAAGGACAGGAATTTTACAAAGATGAAAACACAGATGGCCTATAAACATATTTAAAAAGTTCAATTTTATAAGTAGTCCAAGAGTACAAAGTGAGATACTATTTTACAATCCACTGGAATGGCAAAAATGAAGAAGTCCAATAATACCAAGTATGTGTGAGAATGTGGATCAATGGGAAGTTTTATACTGTTAGTAGGAAGGTAAACTGGTGCAACTTCAGGAAACAATTTTGCGCTATCTAATAAGAGTTTAACACCTACCGCCTCTATGAGTCCACAGTTCTATGTATATACCCTAAAGAAATTCTTACACACCTGCATAGGTGGTATGTACAAGAATGTGCATAGCAATATTGTTTATAACAACAAAAAATTAGAATCATCCCAAATGTCCATGGACTTTTGCTGTGGTCAAACAACAGAATATCATACAGAGTTAAAATGGCTGACCTACAACCACACACAACAGAATTGTCAATATTTTTGTACTTAAGGTGGATAGTAAGTTCATCACTGTTTATTTTATTATGTTTGTGAATGTACATATATTATTTATATTATTTTCTATACTCAAATATTACATAAAAACTTAATAAAAATAAGTTAGGGTCATGCAATTTCAGAGGTAGAAAGAACTCTAAAGATCAATGGGTCAACTTCCTTATTCTAGAGAAAAGAAGTCTAAGTTTAAGGGATCATTTAAGGTCACACAGATAATGAAAGGTAATAAAAGGACATGACCTAGGCCTTCAGTCTCTTTGTCCATTTTATTTTTTTTTTTATCACCCCCACACTATTTCCATGCCCCTAAGTCCACTCCTTTAGAGTACAGAGCTGAGCTATATCCTATACAGAATGCCTTGAAAAGGTTCAGGCCAAAAAAGTTCTCTCATGTACTCCATTTTAGGATTTCCCTGAGGAGCAGGCACAGCACCTAAAGGGCTGAATCCCTGAAAAAGCACTGATTTCATCAAGAAAGGAAATCAGACCAAAACAGCAAGTAATTGGAAGGTCTTAGATTCTCAGAAATATGAGTTCAGAGGCTGCTGAAGCAATTGTGGCCAGAAGTTAGAAGAATCGGAAACGGGTAGATTTGCCAGAGATTAAAAAAAAAAATACCAACAGGGAATTTTAGTTAACATGGCATCCTTATTTCTGCTTGCTCCTGAAATAATACTAAACTACTACAAAGGAATAAATATGATATGAACCCACAAGGACAAAGAGAATGAGTGAGGGAACCACAGCTGACAAAAATGTCTAATTTTGAAAGATGGAAAGCAGATGGAAAAGAGAATAACTGACTTAATGGAGCCTTCAGGGAGGAAGCCAACAATAAGGAAGCAGATTCCTGCCACAGAATTTCAGAAAGCCTCAGGAATTGGAGGCACCTGGCAGGCTGGGGTTGGAAATAAAAGGATTTTGGTTGTAATTCTGTATAAGGAACAAGATCTTAAAACTCCTTTTCCTTGACCCTGGCAGAAGACTGGAATAAACTTTATTCTTGGGAGGCCGTGAACCAACAAAATTGTGGACTCAGGAACTTCAGCATAGCTGAAGGCAGAGGAAAAGCACAGGATGAAAAACAGGGAGAAAGTGAGAGTCTACATAAAGTCCCAGGTCCTTCTTCCTCTAAAATCCCAGAATATTGGAGGCCAGACTTATTATTTCCCCATACACACTCTCCAACCAGAAGAAAACCAACTGTTCTCTGTGAGATAACTGACCAGCCTAAAAGAAAAAGACTACAGATACTGACACTAGTAAGTACCTCAACAAAGCAGTCAACAAACCTACTTCCTCTCTCCCCATTCCGTTACTGCAATTTCCTGTCAAGCTAAATCTGAACTGATAGCCAGCCAAGACTTATCAGACATTTGAGGAAAGTCTCTAATATGGAAAACAGAGATTAAAACCAGATTAAAAAAAAAAAAAGGAATTTACCAAAGACACGAGGAAAATATGAGTCCAAAGGACTAATGGACCACATAAACAACAGCCTCCATCAGCCTGAGCCCAGAACTAGATGGTGCCTGACTACAACCACCTACTGCTCTTACAGGGACCATAAGGGAGGGTCCCTGACAGAGCAGAAGAAAAATGTAGAACAAAATTCAAATTCACACACACACAAAAAAAATGGCCAGACTTACTGGTCTGACAGAGACTGGAAGAATTCCCTAGACCCCCGGACACCCTGCTAACTCAGAAATAAAGCCACTCCCAAAGTCCACCTTTCAGTCAAAGATTAGACAAGGCCTATAAAACAAACAGTCTAACACACCTGAGGAACGTGCTTCTTAGTTCAATCAAGTATATGAGACCAAATGGACAACACCTGCCCAAAAGCAAAGACAAGAAAGCAGGAAGGGACAGGAAAACTAAACAAATAGACATGGGTCAGCTGGAGTGTAAAGGGAAAGGGGGAGAGTGCTGACACATTGCAGGAATTCCAACCAATGTCACAAAACAATTTGTGTATGAATTTTTGAATGAGAAACTAATTTGCGTTGTAAAATTTCACCTAAAGCACAATAAATTATTTTTAAAAAAGGAATTTAGCCTAAAACTATGAAGTTCATAGAAGAAAAAATCGGACCAACACTACAGGCCTTAATACA